CGAGCGAGCCAAGTGGATCGAGGCCTGCAGACGAAGCACTGCTTACAAAGAGAAAGTGCAAGCCGAGCGTCTTTCACGCAGCGTCGGTTCGCCCTCGGAGAAGAAACGCAAAACGGCACCTCAGGAGACCCGTACCCCGTTAAAGAAACGCCTGCGGAGCCGCTTATCCGGCGACTACAAGCCTCCGCAAAATGATGAAGAGCTTGCCAGACGCTTTGAGAAGGTAGGAGGCGCTGGTCACATCGAAACGACAATCGCTCAATGGTGAACAGAATCAGGCAGAACATGCCCGCCGCTGGTCGCGTGGGTCTTTCCTTCGCGTGCTGCAGGACTTCTTAGACTCCACGACCAAACCTTTACCTGACAATTGGTCAGCGTGGCTCTCCTTCAACCAAGAAAGCGATGGTACCGCCATATGGCTGGAGCAAAAGTTTGACGTACCTAATTCTGGAGAGTGGAAAGACGAGAACGTGTTCCAGATACCACTGTCGAGGGAATATACTGAGCCGGAGAGCTCCTACCCTGGAGTTGTCATATTCGAACGCACCCCGTTAGCTGGCGTTGCGGATATCTTGGAAAAGTGAGAGTCTATGTCGTCTCGGCTTCATCGGATATCTAAAGAGAAACTTGCGATGCATAGGAAATATCGGGTTTTGGAGGATTGTGCTCGCTTGCGCGAGATCATTGAGGTGTTTCCTTCCAACAGACATTATGTTCCCTCGTTGTTATGTATCTCGTGGTCTGAGAGCGAGCCAGCTGTCTCGAAGGACTTTGACGATATGGTCAGTGCTGGCTGCATCTCTGTTGGCTTCCACTCACTTTGCTCGCAGGTCAACTCGATGGTTGGAGGCGGCATGTTGACGTCAGCGCACGACTTTCTAATTTCTACTGCGACTTTGGATATGGAATCGAAACTCGAAGAGCTGTTACACGTCATTCCTTTCGATCTTGAAGCTCGCCTTGTGAAGTGGTTATCTATTAATGGTATGTAAAACTTCCGACTCGACATTTCACCTCTTCCACGATTGCTCGCAGATCTTTTCAAAACTTGGGAACACTCCTGGGATGAAATGACGACAAGATGGCTCAATAATTGCACCGTCTATGGAGAGTGTGAGTGGTTTCTATGCCCACAATCGGGAGGCACCTATTTGACCACCCTTTCACTTTAGTCCACTGGGATCTCCACGCAAATTTCCTTGCAGGCTGTACACAGCTCCTGATCCATATACTCAACGAGGTTACCGGGCTACTGGGACATCACGTTCTGAACGACCTCCCCGGCTTGCAAGCGGACGTAGCCTTAGACTCAGAGTAAGTCGATGACGCTGTTGTAAATACGCTGAAGCTCACTATGTTGTAGAACAACCTTTGACACTGTACTGGAATGGTTGCAAGCTCTTCCGGAGACCAATGTCACTCTCTCGTTGATCGGTGACATCAGAGCACATCAGAGCCTTGGTCGAGGTAACATTTTATCGTAGTCGCTCAACTTGAATCGGGGTGCTGACACACTTCATTTAGACTTCCCGACGATGACCTTCTTGCCGCAGATATATGCGCTAGCACGTTCCATCGCAGCGCACGTAACAGACGTCAATCCCGACATCTCGCACTGCATTTCCAGAGCTCGACTGGATGAAGCTCTAAACAACGTCCTCAGGCTTAAGATGTCCCTCGAAGACGAAATGAAGGCCAGTCATATTGCCAAGCTCAAACCCGCAAAGCGTCCTGCATCATTTGGGGAGACTGGATCTAGCAGGTTCGTCGAATATGTGGCCTGACGAGGGCTTTAGTATTCAACTGCGTTTCGTTTAGATCGTCCACCCCATCTTCCTTCGATGAAACTGTCGTTACGCCCGCCATGCTCCGCTCGCTGACCAAAAACATTCGCGCCACATATGGCGCCCTAGCTGACCCCTCCTCTCGATGATACTTATAGTTATCATTGCTGTATTCACATGTATTACCCACCATCTGCTTATATGTACTGATACTGTGTCGAGATAATTCGTGATTTCAGCGGTATTTTACTTGCTATCACTCCCCATCTACTGGGCGGAACTTCTAACGCGTTCCTGAGAGAAATTTAACAACAAACTAGATACAGCTGGATCCAAAACGCCGGGCTGCTGTGATTCTGATGATGACGTAGCCAGGCTACTTCTTCCTTTTAGCTAACAGACTTTGCTGTAAGCCTACGGCTCACGACGGGACTCCCATCATCATGTTCAACGTAGTGTATATACGCTATCGCACACACACGCAGTCCTTAGTCGCATACCACCATGGCCTGTCTTCGTTGTTCTTTATACACGTCGTCGCTCTGTCACTCTGTGCGCTTCAGTGTTTCCCGCCGTGCCCCAGCGGGTTTCTATTTGCTAGGACCATTTTCACCATTTTCCTCGTCTTCTCTCATTGACCTCACGAATTCGTGAGTCCCGCCATCCTTATCTGATCCGGGCGTCCAGTCGCCTGAGTAGGAATTTCAGAAGGAATTTGACAACTTCTCCTTCCATGTGGTCGACAAGGAAGAATGGAAGTGGAGGCGTGCAAGCAGAACGACCTGAATCGACTGTTCTCGAGCATCAAGAGGGAGTTGGCTACTCGTCCCCTTCGTCATATGGCAGAGTCCGCCATGCGTGCTCCTGTCAAGACGCGGGCATCTCGTCGCCCTGAAAGCGCCTGAGTCTGATCGGTATTCCTTCTATTCGGCAGATGAGGATAAGGGTGGGGAAAGGGAAGGGGAAGAACCGTCCGTTCTTTCAGCTTCTCCCCCGCCGATATAGTTGTTGTTTTAGTGTGCCTCCCGGAATTCTTACCCTCAAGTCAACTTGAACTGGACATGTCTGTGACCGTAGGAGAACAGGACCTACTCGATCCTGGAGCAGGAATTCTCGAGAATGGGACGAGTGGTGTCCAGCAGTTATTGGCTGCCCACGTACTGACACTCCTAACCTCCTCCGCACTCCTTTGAGCACCCCTCACCTCTGTACGAGCTAACGCCCGCAATGAAGACCAGTGGATGTGCCTAGGCAAAGCCCAGCAGACCAAAGCTAGCTTGGTTCCATGCCCGGTCACATTCTCAATTCACGATCTTCTCGACTACGAGGGCGAAACTGACTCTCAGCGATCTCCCACAAAGACGGAAGTCACGGGAGACTGGTTTTCGGAGACCTCTTATGCGACGACCGTTGTCGAGGAGACCTAGTTCATCAATGGAGGTCAAACATAGGACATTTCGAAGGGTAGGCGGGTCCGCAGATCTCCTGGCAAGCATCTTGTCGTCTACAACTTACGCTCCTTTGCTGACCCCTTCAATCAGAAATCGGTGCTTCCGACAAAGTGGAGTGCGTCGTCTGTGGAGATACTGTACGAGATGATCACTATTCCCGAGGGAGCCTCGAGTTCCGAGGTCAACCGTTGCGAAGCGTTGCAAGGTACCCCGGCTTGAGGGTGCATCTGCTCTCATTCAAGTTCAAATTTATCTAACAATTGTTTACATTTCAGAAGTCGTACCTCGGATGCATGGCCTCCCATTCCGGTGTTCTGGGCTGCAGAGACGATTGTTTCGCAGGGTTGCACAATGCGATGATCTGAAGGCGAGTTTCGTTCTCCCCTAGATCGTCATGTTTGCTAAGACACATAACAGGGACGTTTTTCACATTTCGACTATGCCTTTTATGCTCTTGGTTCAAATCTCGCTTCCCCTCCATCAGGAAAAACATCATTTCCCCCAGGTCGCGCCCCGATCTCTCTACCATCCTGGAATCGTGGTACGTGTGCCCACGCCGTGACCCACTCTCATTAGTTCCTCTTTGGTCGCGTGCTAAGATTATACGATCGAGGGAGACACGGGCCACAAGACACAAAGAGTCGAAGAAGGTTATCAAGAAGCGCCTCGATTCTAGTATGTGGATGGATCCAGAACTGTTAAACGAAGAAATATCTAAAATCGCTTATTGATATGTTCATCCTGGCCAGTCCTAGATTCCTCTTCCATCTCTCGAACAACAAGAGCAAAAATGCAAACATACGGAAGAATCCTGCACGCCTACAGACGCCCTGAACACTATATAAGTACGCCCCTTACTCTGCTCTGGTTCTTCCTTTTGCTACGATAGTCACCAGACTTTGTTGCCGCAAATGATAAAACCACCCAAAAAGAATTGAGAAGTGACGGGAACTCGTTGACGGCTCTTCGCCTTAGCACCCTTTAGACGCTTCGGCCACCACTAGTAAGTGCTTCATTTCTTCGTTCATCTTTTCGTTGACCAGTCTTTATAAGGCTATCTTCCTGTCCTTACTTGAACTTCCACGACCGTCAGTCGTCACTCGGAAACGGTCAGTCTTTACTCGAGAATCCACCGTCGTCGCTTGGTCACTACTCAGTCACCGCTTCTAATTGTCTCTACCTAGACATTTTCCTGTAGTCTTTGGCCCATTGCCACTACCGGGTTGACCAACGCGCATGCTGCCTCCTGAGCGCTTGGACACCGGCGCCCTCGGTACTCAAAGTTCTCCCACAGTCTTCACTGAGATATCCGCTGTCCTTACTCGGGATTCCACTGTACTTGGTCGGAATCCCCCACTGCCAGCATGCGACAGTTATTGCTGAGATTGAATTATCCTTGTCACTCGATGTCACTTATCAACGAAGGACCTGTGTATTCTTGGGCGTTGACTAGGTCTCTGGTGACAGCACCCCACTTCCTGTCGGTCCGTTTCGTTTCGCATCGTCTCGTGTCTATGCTAACCCGTTATTCTTCAATTTGTTCGTAGAGTAGCTACCAAACTCCAACCAGTGTTGGTGTTCAGTTAGTTCGAGATGTGACCCATAGATCTGTTTCGACACTGACCTACATCTACCCATCTCCAACTACACCTATTCAACTACGCATATAACAGGTACCATATACACCAAGTCTAGTGAGTGAACCAATTTATGGACCCAAATATATCATGAAATCCTGGTGGTATGGCAAAACAACAAGAAAAAGTTCGGATACCGGGAGTCGAACCCGGGGCTGCTGTGATCATGATGACGTAATCAGTGAAAGACAGCCATGTTAGCCGTTACACCATATCCGATATGATAATCCTCGTTTCTTGACTTCAAAGTATGCGTTGTTGACTGCGTTTCAAGCCCAAACAATCCCCTTCGTCTTTGAGTATTGAAATGCCCGAGGGATTTGGAGACGAGTGCACGCGTGGTGAACAGCAGGGTGGGGGATGCGTTGCCTAACTCACCTTGTGGCGCTGATCCCATTTTTTCAAAGATACAACCATGTTAGCCATTACACCATATCCAAGCTCAAAGTTGTCACTTTCTTCATCACGACAAAGAGTACAACACACAAGTAGCCCATTGACCAAGACCCAAGGCGTACAAATCGCATACATTGCTCCACCGCAACTTACAAGTTCCGAGTCATAATACATCGTACACGTAAATCCACAACAGAGCACCCCCAGAGTACACCGAGAACAATCGTACGTATATTAAAAGTACATCCTGTTGCACAAGATGGCATTGAAAATCGTCCTTCATACACAGTGCTCAAGCAAACGCTAAAGCAGACCATGTAGCCGCCGCCCCAATGGCCATGGTTACAGCAGTTTGAGCGACTGCGTACATCGCCGTCTTGGCCCGTTTCTGCGGCCTGGAGGTTTCTGGGGTTGCGCCATCGCAAACATTCGGCACCGGAGTGGGGACGGCTTGTTCAGTGACCGCATCCGTTACAACGCCTGGAGAAACCTGATGTTCCGAGTCGTCGTCGTCATCATCATCATCCGTGCGCTTCCGCTTCAGCGACTTCAAGACCTGCACGACGTAAGAAATGGGACTACGTTGGACGAAATTACATACCTCAACCTCAGTGGCGATTGCATTCAACGCTTCGGTGCGAGCGGTACTGATAGCTCCTATCTTCTCTTCTATCCGCTTCTCAGCATCTTCCCGCAAGGCCTTCATCTCTATCGAGCACGTCAGCATCTCAGCAAGCCACCAGTAACCAACGCAACGAACCGGAGACTAGATTATTCAATGCCTCGGCACAGGCTTTCACATCATTGAGATGTGCTTCAGCAGGCCGCGGTTCTGGTGCATCGAGCCTGCTACGGAGCGTGTTCACCTGGCTCTGAAGACTGGATAGCGAAGCGATGTTGCGCTCAGCCACGTTGATCCGGCAGAGCAGGCGCTCCGACTCGGGTTCAAGCCTGTGAACCTGACTTTGGAGGTCTATGACGTCTTCTTCGGTGAAGGACTGGCGCGATTTAAGACCGGTGACAGATTCTCCCAAGGCGGTTACTTGTTCCTGTACTTCATGTCAGAGAGGAGGGCACGGGATGGTGGCAAATGGCATTTACCTTGACATTCTTGATAGTCGCTTTGAGTTCCGAGCTGACGCGGTCAGCAAGCACCTGGTGGAATGGCATCATGTGAAGATGATGTGGCGGTGGAGGTGGCGGTGGAGGGAAAGGAAGCGGGGGCGGAGGAGGACGTAAAAGCATCGACGGATGGACACCAAAGGCAGTGCTCAAGTGGTTGAAGGACCCGTCTAGAAGGAATGGCGGACGGGGAAGGGTCGTAAAAAGCTCAGAGATTTTACTCTGAGCGATAGATGGCTGAGTGAGCTCAGACTCAGGCATTGGCGCATCATCTTTTGGTGGCTCGGCTACCACTGCTTCCACCGCTGAGTGACGTGGAGACTCCGGTCTGGAAGCAGGCCATGCACCGATGACAGGGGGCTCTGACTGCTGGGCTTCCGAGAGTGGGGACGGAGATGGTGTGGACAGCTCCATGGGGGATTGGGAACGAGATTCGTGAGCAGGGTTGATGACCACCATAACAGGGGAAGGCTGGGTGAGCACCTCGACGGATGAGCAAGGTGACCCAGGTGCATCTACTAAGGGGACATTCAGGTCGCCCAGGACAGAAGGGGAGCGCGAGATGCTCGTGGTGTAGATGTCTTTGATGAATGAGCGGAACGTCGGGATCTTGACTGAAGCCTTCTCCTGACTATCGCGGAGGAGAGGAGGTACGCAAGACTGAATCTCTTCCCCATCAGATTCATGTTCAGACGGTGAAGAAGCTTCGTCGGAAGATGCATATAATGAAGAAGTAGAATGTGGCGACTCAGACTCGATATACGAAGGAGGAACAAAGAGTCCGTAGCGTCCTGAGCTCAGCTTTCGCGCTCGAGAGACCGCATGACTCAAAGAATTGATAGGAGTCAGCGCACGGAGAGGGGATGACGCCTTGGGAGACGAGTTACCCGTGAGGAGCTCAACACGGACGGTAACGGGAGAAACGAGATATGAGCCAGCGCCTACTACCTTGCCAAAGGTGAGAATGTCGCCATCGGCAAGAGCAGTTGCGACTTCGGCCTTCAACATTTTGGGCACCGTTTCGCCACGCCTCAAAAGATGAGTCCCGTGTCGTGAATGAAGGTCAACGACGTAGACCTATCATTCTTGATGAGCTTAGCGCCGGCATGAAGCTCGAATGGAATTATACCTGTCCGCCATCCGAAAGGACTAGTTTAGCGTGCCTCGCGCTCACTACCTGGCATGCAAAAACTATATTGTGATCGTCGTTCTCTCTTCTCATTGACTTATCATCGGACCCTGATTTACGGCCGATGTTGACGTAGCTTGAGCGGGATCGGTGAAATGTGATGTCATGAGCAGGTTTGTCTTCGCATCTCTCAACATGCAAGGCGATCCCTACAGATGGCAGGAGTCAGCATCATCATCAAGGTAGATGAAGAAAGGCGACGTGCCCGTGACCGACTCCTGCGCTCCACAGGGGCCATCCAGGGGCTCTAGCGTTGCGAAATTGGTACCCAAGTACTGGACGTCGTCGTCCATGATGGTCTATCGACTTCAAGGGGAAATTTTTATCAACGAAAATCAAAGATGTTGTTTCGGACCTTTAGTCGATGGTGAGGGGAGGAATGAGGAATGGGAGTCACTCGAGCCGTGACCGTATGGCAATGCCTTTATCACAGGTAACACTTGGGCATGTGGCCGTGACCTTTCCAAATCGGGGGATAATCCGGCGACTTCACCAACCGATCACCAGGAAAGGACATCGTTGTGAAGAGCCTACATCGGGCGCCGGTACTACCGATAATTGGTATAGGTAGACTCAAAGATGCGAAACACGAAACACAGATATGTAGGCAAAGGAACAGAATGCATGAACGTGAACGGGAGACAAACTGTGACAATGATATCTAATGGAGCCCTTATGAATTGTAATCTTCAAACCATGGGTGGACAAGAGCACGTTTCGCTATGGAAGCACGATGCATGAGTAGGCTAGAAGCATGGATTGTGACAGCGGAGACTTACCTGAAATACGCTTGGCCGTGTCGTAGGTTAACGTTCGCTATGATATGTGTTAACACGATGCGCGATAGCATACATACCAACTCCCGCGAATAATGACAACTCACCGCCAGTAAGTCAATGCCCATATCATCCAGGTTGGGCACTATATTGCGCAACTCTTGCCTCGACCACTGAGGGAACGTCTCCTTGTAGTCAGGTAATTGACTGACTCCTGGCCAGACTTGCTCATTTGGCGTTCCCAAAATCCTTGGATAATCGTGTCAGGCAAGATAGGTAAATGGATAGGCAAACAGACCTGAAGATCTTGAAGATTTGATCGATCTCCGAGTCACCCGGGAATAGTGGGTTTCCCCTCATGACCATCTCCGCAAATATGCACCCAACGGACCACATGTCAATGGCTGTTGAGTAGTGCCTAGACCCAAGCAAGACCTCAGGCGCACGGTACCAAAGCGTCACGACCTAGGCCGAGGGCAGATATGAAACCACAAATGAGATGCATACCCTATACAGCAGGAGACAAGTACTACAAAAGAACAAAACACTCACCTCGTGGGTATAAGTCCTCATGGGTATACCGAACGCTCTAGCCAGGCCAAAATCTGCAAGCTTGAGGTTGTTGCGTTTATCGATAAGCAAATTTTGTGGCTTGAGATCCCGGTGAAGAATACGATGCGAGTGACAGTAGAGCAGTCCAGAGCTGAGTTGGTGGGTGAATTTCTAACATGACAAGAATCGTTCAGCAGGTTTCAATACAGTGATGAGCTGAGATCAAGGTAAACAAGTCAAAGTGTGAAGGAAATCCTAAACACGCTGTGGTGTGGTGACGAAGCACGTGATCAGGCGTGCAATCCCCCTATCGTCACAATCGATGTGATATAGTCAGGGTCACTTCACCCAACGAATGCGGTAAAGGCCTCAGAGCATCTAGACAAGTATGGGAGAATTGACGTTGTCCGCAGTAACTGGTTGTTGCCCCATCGAAGCGACGATCCCGGCCATCTTTCACGCGTTTATTACCGCGCAAACCCCCATGCCAGTGGCAGGATCCTGTAATACGTTGGGTAATGGGGGAGATATGACTTACTTTGGATATCTCAATGGAGATGGGCGAACCGCTAGAATTTGCATTCTCCATGTACCGTTTGAGGTCAACATCGAGAAACTCGAAGACAAGATAAAGCTTCTGGTCGGCGTGCACGATGTCTAACAGTCTGTAGAAAAGCACGTGGGTACACTCAATCCAGAGGAACGAGCACGCGCTATGCCCTACCTGACGATATTATCATCCTTCAGCTCCTTCAACAAACTGATCTCGCGAATGGCGGTACTTGGCACGCCTTCATCTTCAGCCTCGAGCCGTATTTTCTTCAGAGCGACAATCTGGTTTGTGGTCACGTCTTTTGCTTTGTAGACGACTCCGTACGTTCCTATACACGCGTCGCACCACGCGAATGATGGGAACACAGCATTTAATCAGCTAGCGACAGGGTTGGCAGCACGCTGATGCGTACCCTCTCCTGCAATGCGTTCGCCACACGAGGTCATTCATGGGACAGCATGATTGTGGCACAGCGGCACGCACCAACTTTCTCGATCTTTGCGTAGCTGTCGATGATCAAGAATAAGATCAGCAACTTGTATTACTCAAAGCGACTGGCGCATGAGTCGCGTACCGATCCATGTTGTCGAAGTCAAGTACAAAGAACTGGGTGAAACTTGAGCGTGGCGGG